TGTCCTCATGGAGTTTTAGTGGGTGTACAGGCAGAAATAAGTTGTATCAGTGAAGTGCACAGAGCCTCAGAGCTTATAAAGGGAAAATTAACCTTGTCAGTAAATTTGGGAAGATGTCCCAGAAGAAATACGCTTGCACACATGATAGAAAATTATTTTTGAATGTTGCTGAGAAGTCTAGGCAGCATATACTCATGAAGCAATGAAGATGAAGTGAAAGTGAGGAAAAAACTTGGCCTACTGTTCTAGTCATACGGGCCTCCCCATTCTGTCCTTTGAACAGAAGTTTGTTCCTGCCTCGGTGCCTTTGAACTTGGTTCTGATGGTTTTGCTCATCAGACTGTCAAGGCAGGCTCCTTCACGTCCTTCTCATATTCACCTTTCCCTGACCCCCTATCTAAACTAGCCCTCTGCTGATCTTGCTAACAGCACCCTGTTTATATTCTTTATGTATAATCATCTTGCTTTTTCTTCCATTTACTTGTTTATTGACTGTCTTTTCCAGCTGAATGTAAGCTCCGAGATGCCAGGCTTCCGTCTCTCTTGTTCGTATCACCTGGGCCAATGCCTGACATGTAGAAGATGCTCAGTATATATTGCCAAATGAAGGAGAGTGATGAAGATAAATCTATGCCCAAAGAGGTTTATTCTGTTTTGAATTAATAATTGATTTTGCAGAAAGTAAAGCAGGTTATATTCCCTTAACATATCAAAATTCCTTTCAATTTGAAGATGCTACACAATTTTCACCAATTCTTTATGGAAGAGGAGAAATATACATTGTTATTTGCATAATCTGAGTTTATTTTTTAATAGGAAGCCCCTGGAAATTTACTTGGAAGTGCATAAAATGGATTAATGGGTAGAGAGATAGTAGATAGATAGATAGACACAAAATAAAACAGTTTACTAAAATATTAATGTTGAAATTTAGGCAATGGCTATACATATGTTCACTGTAAAATGTTTTCAACATCTCTGTCTGTTTGCAAACTTTCATAAATAATGTTGAGAAGGAAAAAGTAACTGAGTATATTCCTGCCATCAATAGAGTTTAAGTTCAATTTTTTCCATACTTTCTGCATCTCTAGAGTTGATGAGAAGCAGGGAAATTGTCAAGAAAATTCTTTGTAATAGACTGATTAAGCAACAAACAGTATACTTATATTTGGTATGATTTCAAACAATGAGAACTGTGCTCTTAGAACCCTTGCCTCTCTACTATTCCTCCAGCCTAAAAGCTGGGTCCTGGTACCAGGGGATTTAACACAGTCAGCCATGGAAGGTGACTCATGGGTGTTTGTTACAACAGGAGAAATCATTTTCTCACTTGTGACTTTTACGACTCTTATTTGGGGAAAAGTACCAATGTTGTTAAAATGATTCAGTATCTTTCCATCCCGTGGGTCTGTGTTCCTTTCTTGCTTTTGGCGGGTCTAGGATGGGAGGAAGCTTCATTATAATAATAACAATAATCACCTGAATGGGTGTTCCCAGCTTGTGAAACTATTCCATTTGCCTTACTTCTTTTGATTGTCCCAACCAAGCTATGATGTATGTAGGTCAGGTAATGCACCACACCTATTTTACAGATTGAGGTGTGAAGTGTAGAAATGACCTGGCCAGTTTCATTGTCAGGTGTTCAGGTGAGGAGCTGAAATTAGAATCTAGGTTCCGGACTTTCCATCCAGTCACCCTTAACTTGATGTCCGATGGATAATGCACACAACTGCCCACTGCTTAATTTTGCCAGAAGGAGTGGAACTTTGGATGAAGTAAGGTTTCAGGGAAGGACCCTGGAAGATAGCCACTGGGGAGGTAAATTTTCCTTGGGTTCAATTTGTGCTAAGTCACCACAAAATTTCAAACCTATTTCTTCATACTGTTCCTCCATGTTTAATTCAGTTCGTGTCCTTTCTGAAAGGTTGAGTCTCAGCTTGTGAGTTCTCTCTGAGCCGGATACCCTTTTAGGATTGGTGCGCGGCAGTCAGTCAGTGGGGACTGGTTCTAAGTGGCTGCTGTGCACGGCCACATTCTCCTCTGTGTTTTCCTCCCTGGGATGCCTGTCCTCACTGAGGTGGGAAGATAACTGCCTTAATGCTTATTCCATCAGCTCCTGGAAGCTATTAAAGATATTCCAGAAATGCCAATTGTCCATGTCATCTAATGTCACTTAATTCTCCTTTACCTGAAATTTCCAGCATGGAAATTTGTGAGCCTCTTGACTATGGAATCAGACATGCCTGGATCTGAAACTACTCCATCACTTCTTACCTGTGATATCAGGCAAGTTGCTTGGCCTCCTTAAACCCCAAGTTTTTCATCTGTAAAATGAGATTTATCATAGGACTTTCTCATGGAGCTGTTATGAGGATTAAATGGAATAATGCCCATGGAGGGTATTACTCAGTATCACTTGCTTGGTAGACGCTCTTTTAAATATTGGTAGGAATTTTAATACTTCAGAGTTAGATCCAGACATGCTTTTCATATATTTGATAAAATTTACCTTACTATCTAATAAGAAAGAATTACACTCACATACATTTCTTCTTCCCTCCCTTCCTTCCTTCCTTCCTTCCCTCCTTCCATTCATCTCTACTGAGTGTCTCTTAATATGTAGGGCAGTTTGTACTGTCACGGATATTGTGGGCTAGGGTGGAAGACAAATTAAGTAAGGACTCACACAAATGAACATAAAATTACACCTGTATATAATTGCTACAGAGAATATTACAGGAGACCTTGACTTAGTGGGGAAGCTTCCCTGGGGGTGTGATGCTGGTGCTGAGATCTACAGGTGAGTGGCAGTTAATCAGGTGAGAAGGAGGGAGGGAGGGTGGGGAGGGTGGCAGAGACGTCCAGACACTGGGGTTAGGAGCAAAGATCCTGTGCAGAAGGGAGTGTGACAATTTGAAAGAAGCCATTGGGGCTGAAGCAGAAGGAGCAAGGGCCACAGTGGTGCAGGTTGGGGCAGGGTGCACTGGAAGAGCAATGCAAGCGACACCTGTCTGCTGTCTTAGGGTTTGTCTTTATTCGAAGAGCCAGGAATCTATTGAAGAGTTTTAGGCATGCCTGTCCCATAACTCTTAGGGGTCATTTAAAGTTAAAGAGGTAGAAGCCTGGCTGGTTAAGGCACCTTCATTCATAGGGCCATGGAGCAGAGCCCTACAGTATGGAGGGAAGAAATGGAATGAACTGCAGGATCTGTCATCTAGATTCGAACTCAATGCTCAGTGGTCTGGGAAGTTGTGAAAGTAATTGACCTTGGCTCTCCTCCTCTGGGAAGCTTATAAGAAGTAGTAGAAATGTAGTCATGTGCTTCACCACGTGCAAATACCAGTCACCACAGGGTGAGAGGGAGAACTCAGTTGAGATATCGAATTCAGGAAAATGACTATCTTACTGAGCAGCAACCCACAAAGCAAGTTAAAAGTTACTCCATCATAAACTTTTGTTCTTAACCTAGTACCTTTTTTGAACTGATTTCATGTTTTCCCTACATAATCTGTCTAAATCTCCAAGATTTGTTCAGTTACACAGTCACAACTCCATTTGGCCAGCTACCAAGTGGACTAGTTTTGACACTGCGGGAGGAATGCCTTTGAGGTGGTAAGTTTGTACAGTCCAGGGAGGGGTCTGGTTGCTATTTCAATGACTAGGAGAGCAAACAGTGCTTGACCACCTCTGGGAGTAGAGCCAGATGAGACAGAGAAAACCATTGGAGGTGGCCCACTCCCATCTGCAACTCCAGGCAGGAAGTATCAGCTGTAGGTCCATCAGTGGGAGGGATCTGGACTCTTGCCACATCCAGCCAGGGCTCATATTATGGAGAATCATGAAGTCAACAAAGCTTTCCTTCCTTTTCATCCCTTGTCCTACTTCCCTCTTTGATATTATTACCATGTCAGTATTCCTTGGTTCTTGCTTTCTTAGCTCTGACATGCATGCCTAACTCGCCAAGACCTGTGAGTAATTTACTGTATTGTCCTTGCCTGCCCTACCTTGTGTCTGGTCTTTGCTCCTGAGCCCAGTGATTTAATTATGAAGCAAACAAACAAAAAGACAAAAAAAAATATTTTTCAGGGTTTGGAGCAAGGGAATGCAATGCTTTCTGGGGGTATTGCAGACAACAGATAGATTCATAGTGCTGAGTTGCTGCAAGCACGGATGGAAGTTTGTGCTCTTTGCTTTCCTTCCCTGCAGGTAGGATCAGCTGTAATACGACCCCATCAATAGGTGAGCAAAAGCATAGACACTAGACATCAGTATGGTGAACTGAATGTTGTAACTCTGGGGGGAAAATGTGTTTTCAGCGCAGGGCAAATAAACCTTTAAAGCCAGATTCAGTCAAAGGGAAAATAGGAGAAACCCATTTATTGCTTACAAGAAGTTGTCTACTCCCGCTCGCCCATGTCTCTCCCTGTCCTGGCTGGAAAGAAGCACCCCACCCTGCCAAATAAAAACTCTCTGGTCCCCAAGCCTGCTCACCTCTCCACCCTCTTGAAAGCACTATTGATATGGAGATGGACTACTCTCCACCCCTTGGAAACACCTATTGATACAGAGATGTACTAAGGCCAGATGAGAGATTCTGGAAATATTGCAATTTTACCCACAAGTGTCCATTCATCCTTCATTGAAACTCTCTTGTCCTAAGACATGCTTAATTTCATGCCAAGATTGAAAAATGTCTTAACACAACCTGGGATCTACCTTATAGAAGAAAACATCTCTTTTTTTCATTAGAGTTACTCAGTAATCAGATACAGTAGTTCTGCTGCTGGTGGGTAGGGATGAGGTCAACAAATTTTATATTCAAGAACAGTCTTTCAGCAGAAGATAAGTAACCCTTAAATATAGACTCTTAACCTGCTTGATCAGTTGTTACGAGGCCTGGATGTAGTAAACTCCTTTAAGATTTTATAATTTGGAAAGAAAATATCTATACACACTAATTACACATATGTAGGTACAATAATGAAAATCTGAAGTGAATATTGAAATATTTAAAGAGATTTATTGTTAATCATCTTCAATTTTTAAAGAAAAAGAAGTTCACATATTTAAAAAAGGAATAAGCAAAAATGTGTGCTTCTGTAGGAACTTCTTAAATACATGATTCTCTTCTAAGAGCAATTGCACTGTTTCCCCGAGTGCCCCTTAGCAGTCTCTCCTTTGGTTCTCTTCTTCCTATGCCCACTTCATCAGTAAAACTTTTACCTCACTTCTGTACTTAGACCCCAGAGTTTGAGGTGATCTGACTAACATCTATTGGCATGACTAAGCTCAAAGTCCTATTAAAGAAGTAAAAACACGTGGCTCCCATTTCCCTTTTGTTACCGTGGCCAAAGCCGTCTTGTGTTTGCTTTGTATTTGCAGAGAAAATATTCAGGGGAAAGGGTTATCGTGTGCACTTGGCATTCACAGTCCTGGCACACTCAGGTACGTCCATGGTGCTGACAGGTAAGCAGGGAAGAGCACATTCACTAAACCCTCTTCAGAGATGCGCTTGACATGCATGTCAAGGCTGACATTCTGCATCAGGTTTCATAATAAGCATCCATCCAGAGGGCTGAGGATTTCTTCAAGGCCCTGTCGGGGGGAGAAACAAAATCATCAGCAGGTGAGACTCTACTGTCAAAGGAGCGACTCCCTGGGACATTTGCTCTTTCACTTGGATCAGGGCAATGTTGTCATTTTCAGCTGTATCTGAAAGATATCTTTCTCTGTAGCCCAGTGAAGGGAGTCAGATACACGGAATTGATTTTGCAGGTGAGTTCACCTTTCCTTTATGGGGGAGATTGATTTTTTCTCTCATTTTATTCTCTCCTGTACCCCAAGCCATCACCTATCCTTTTCTCTAGGTGTTATCTTGAACCTAGAAAAAACAGTTTCTCTTGAGTTTTCATAAGATAAAGCATATACCTGTACACTAGCCCATCTTGTATCCACCTGCCCGTCCTCTTTTATAATGTAAAAGATATTTTTCTAGGCTCTGGGAATACAGCAATGAATAGGGGAGAGATGTGAGTCCTGTCCACATGGAGTTCCTGGTCTAGCTGGGGGGACACATACTAGATCATTTATTGCTTAATATGTTATTTAATCATGATTGTGATAAAGATCATGAATGATGATAACCAGGTGCTGCAAGAACATGTGACCACTTTAGGGGATAAGAGATGAGGAAGGAATTGGAGATGAACTTTGAAGAGTGAATGGAACTTGACGAGGTGATATGAGCGGAGGTGGGGGCTTAGAATAACATTCCAAGCAAAGTAAAGGTGGCAAAGGACATGAAATGGCAAGGGGCAGGGACTTGTGGAGCAACTGAAGAGGGGCCAGGTATCTGGAGTGCAGAAAAGGAGGAGGGGAGTGGGAGAGAGTCTGAAATTGGAGCACCACCAGAAATCTGATCAGAGCAAGCCCGTCCTTGTTGGCTTCATTCAAGATACTGTTTTTTTTTTTCTTTTGTTTCTGTCTAATCCTAAAAGAAAGAGAAAGTTACCAGACCATTGGCTGTGAATTTGACCAGTGCACTGTTCTCGAGGGGACTATGAATGCTTCAGGATGAGTATGGGTTTTAGTTTCCACGGGTTCCTCCACTTTTGGTCAGCACCCCGGCCTGACCCACACATTTATGTCCCACTGGACCCTACAGGCATCTAACTTTGCAACTATGAACCAGGCGATTTGAGTGTCTCTCCTTCTACTTAAATTCTAAAGAATGTCAAGGTTCTGTGGGGGATACAAAGACATAGTACATAGCCCTGGTTTGAAGAGGCTTGGAATCACATAGGGCAGCAAGGTGTTTTTCACAAGGAAGTACCTAAAAGGCAGCAGCAGGTAAGTGGTAAGAATTATTATTATCACTGCTGCTGGTGTTAATGTTCCCTGTAGAGTGTCATGTCCATGCTGGGCATGCAGATGCCCATTAATAAACAGCTGTTGGGTGAATGATTCATAAGTGACTGACTAGTCTAGGGATGAACAGTGAAGGGAAATGAGAGCTGTGAGTTTAGAGACTGTTCTTACCGGACGATGTCTCCGAATGCCTTCCATATGGGCTTATTCACATACTGCAGTCCGTGCTTGGCACACAGTGACCTCACCAGAGGTGCCACCTTGTGATAATTATGGCGTGGCATTGTGGGGAACAGACTAGGGAAACAGAGATGGGAGATACAAAACTTAGACCTAAAGGGAAACCCAAACTTTTCCCCATTATTAAATAAAATTGTACCAGCAATGCAGACCCAACCTTGACCTTGCCTAATACTCTTATTCCAGAAAGTTCAAAAACGCTTGCCAAAACATTGGTCTTCTTCTTAACCCTCTGTGAACCCTGTGGGGTGCAAATGTTTTGGAAGAGCTATGAGGATAAATATTAGCTCCATCAAATATGTTTTTTTTGGCCAAGTCAAATAAAAAGTATAGTGTTTTTTTTAGCATTTTGAATTACCCAGAGGGCTGGAGATATCCACACATACCCACCAGCCATCTCTGTATCTGTCTTTTTCTATCCATCTAACTCCTGCATCTAACTCTATTGAATATAAATAGGTGAATATTCAGTAAGTTCTAGTCATGGTATGAAATGGGGAAAAGTCCTAGGATAGAGACAATAAGAGAGATGGGGTTTTAATCCAAGGTTTTCACTAATCAGTCAGATGACCTTTTGGGTTTTAACCTCTCCTTTGATAACAGATGAATAATAATTTTTTCTTAGTTTGCTCACATTTTAAAGGGATAACATGAAAAAAAAGGATGGGAAAATCTCATGAAGAGGTACAAAATCTTTCTCCTTCTGTATCACAGATACAGCTTGGACAAAGAAAATGTGTAAAGTCTCTCCCCTGAGTATCCTGGAGAGATTGACTTTCAAAGTATTATCATTTTCTGTTTTTTGAGGACGTGGCCACCTAACTGACCCATTGGTAAAGTATTTCCAGATACCATTTGGAAAGGCCAGCAGAGACTAAATTTCACTGTGGATTATTGGGTACCCTCAGCTGTAATGATACAGATATAGATAGATATTTAAATTAAATTGTAATTAAGGTTTAACACACCTTGGTTTCTGAAGTGTCATAATTTTTCTTGGATTTTGTCAACAATCCAAATTGAAAGAAAATAGTCACCAATTCCTAAGTCCATAGGAATATGGAAATGGAATCACTGGTACTTGTCCAATATTTCACTCCTTTTACTCATTATTGTTACACCTCCTTCTTTTCTTTCTTCCTCTCCTTACCACTATGTTAATAGAAAGATAGCAGCCTTTAGAGAACTCTGGTTCACTTTTTCCCTCTGAGATCCCGGGCCTAGGGCTCTGCCCTGGACTATATGGGGGCTTTTATATGTGACAGCCTTTTCTCTTTATTATAGACTATTTCTGTCACTCACTGGTGCTCGATTTGGAAGTTCAGGTGCCCAGTGAACCAATCATTGAAAAAGGACTGTTCAACATTACAGGTGGCCAAGACCTGCAAAGAAAAAGCTTACATTAGATGTAAATTAGCCTGTCAAACAAAGAAAATGTTTATTTATTCTTTAATTCAGTCAATCATTTAGAAAGTGTTTATCAAGTATCTATTTAGTGTAAGAAACTCTGAGGGATAAAAATGATACACAGTCCAGATCTCAAGGAGCTTATAATTTAAAAAGGCGAGAAGGTAGTTTGCTAAGAAGTATATACAAGACAACAAAAAGTATGTAGGATTTGAGGGGCTAAATCAGCATCAGCCCTTGGATACAGAACACTGAAATGTCATGAATGAGGACTCTGGCAGATGGAAGTGGGATTGCTGGATCTTGGTAGAGATTATAGTGGTTAGGATACCATTTCTACAGAATGGACTCTAAGGACTTCTAGGTTGGGAATAAGGCAGTCAAGGATTCTAACCAAGGGTTCTGTGCACAGAAGTGCATTTCAATATAGGTACTTTCTTTTGTAATCGAATGTACTACATTTTATGCATTTAAAAACCTTTATCCTAAGAAGGAGTTCACAGGTTTCTTTATACTGCCAATTTTATTCAATGAATATCAATGCCTTTCTAAGGTTTAATTCTGGTTGGGGTTGTCATTTTGAATATTATTCTTGTGGTTTTTCTATGTCAGTGTTTCTCAAAGTGTACTTTAGAGCATCTTGGGGTTCCCTACAATCCTTTCAGGGAATCTCCAAGGTCCAGGCTATTTCCATAATATTTCTAAGATAGTACATGCCTTTTTAATTCTCATTTTCTCATGTTTATACAGTAGATCTTTCCAGAGGTTACTAAACATGGGATGGTATCATCACTCTGATGTGAACATGTATTGTTTTTATTCTTGTTATCTCAAAATTAAAAATAAATATCTTAAAATTATGTTTTAATTTCAAATATAGTATATATCAGTGGATATAGCCTGCATAAACTAAAAGTCTTTGAGGTTCTCAATAACTTTTGAGAGTGTAAAGTGATTCTGTGACCAAAAAGTTTGGGAACCACTACTGTACACCCTTTTGGAAGGCCCACTGAATTTAGAAATGATTTTGGAGAAGGAAGCAGTATAATGGTTGGATTCTCCAGTTAATCGTGGTGTGGTCAGGGGAAGGCTCACGAAATAGGGGTATCCATCTGATCACAACTCTGTCCATCATTAGCAGCATGCTTGGCAAGCAGGCCATGTCTCCTTGTTGGGCCTCTCAAAACAGTGAAATTCCAGGGTCCTTCTAGGTGTAAAATTCATTGCATAATTCTGGAAGTTTCAGATTCACTTAAAAAGCTGTGGGCAGAGGTCACCAAATCTTTTCTGTAAAGTGCTAGATAGTACATATTTTAATTCTCTGTCACAACTGCTCAATTCTGCTGTAGTATGAAAGCAGTCATGGGTAATATGTAAATGTATGAGCAAGTCTGTGTTCCAATAAAACTTTATTTACAAAAATAGGCAGTTGGGTGGCATTGGCCCTTGACTGTAGCTTACTGACCTTCAGTTGAAAAGCTCTGAAATCAAACTGCCTAGGCTTAAAATCTGCTTCTACCATTTATTAACTGTGTGATCTTATGTAAGCTAACTCAACTCTTCATGCCTCAATTTTACATTCTTTAAAGTGGGGATAATCATGGCACCTATCTCATTTAGTTACATGCAGAGCAGTGGACAGAGCCTGGACCCGGCCTACATTCAGTAAGTATGGTAGCCAGACTTAAAATCGGCCTGCTTTGAAAAATCCTATCCTGGGAAGTCCATTATTACCTGAGTGCTGAGCCAATCTTGGTTCTCCTCTCTGCTCATTTTCATTGGTATGTGGCTCATCTGGGTAACATATGCAATCCAGGGACTTTCAAGAAACCTTTCAGAGAATAATAAGAGGAAGTGATGACTCGTTGGGGTTATCAGTTCCCATCACTGGGCTTGCATAACCACTGGTGGATCTGACTGAGCATTGAAGGAAATGGAAGGAACTCAAAGGTTTCAATAAAATAGTGGTCATATATTTTCTACTTTGGAGGCCCTTTATGTCTTGAGATGATACAGTAGGCATCAGGTCACACAGCCTAATGTAGGGGAGCAGTGCCCTCAAAGTTTGCTGCAGCATTGGCCCAAGGGTCAAAAAATACCGAGGTACTTAAGGGCATGTGCAAAGTGTTTGACAGCCTTGAATTTGTCATCAGACAGGGCTGGGTTCAATTTCTGGTTTGGCGTGCACTGTTCCTTATTTGCGTTCTAACTTTGAATAAGTGATTTATATCTCTCTCTGATCTTCAGTTTCCTTAGCATAAAAATGAAGATGATATTATCTACAGGGCTGTGTAAAGATTTCATCAAATGAAATAATGCATAATGCATGTAAAGCCTTTGGCAAAGTGCCTGATGCATAGTAGGTATCATTATCCTTGTTATTATGTAGAATTAAAAATAATAATGTGAAGGAATGAGGATGAATTGGGAAGTTGGAGAGGGTTATTCAGTCGTAAGTCATTTTGGTCTTGGGAAAAATCTCTAGTCATAAAATAACTTAAAAAGATTCCTGTTCTTCCAGTATCTGGCAAGGATTATGATGTCCAGCTGAATTACAATTTTAAAGGACTTGGGGATCAGATGGAATACTGCAATTGGGACTTAAGCAAGTGGGAAAAAGATTAGGTAAATTCATTTTCTGAGGAACCCTTCTTATTCAACTATTTTAACTATTTTTTTTCTCACATTTTCTTGGAAATGTCTCAGTTACAGAGAATGGGGGATGGTGCTATACTCTTCTGCTAATCACAAAAAGCTCAGATAGGGAAAGTTAGAGGACCATGTAGGTTATGGGAATAAGAGAATATTCTTGCTTTCTTACTTGACCACGTATATGAGCAACAAGGTTCCGAAGATTCCATAGAAAGGGCCAAGTGTGATGAAATAGCGGATGTAAAAGCTGCTGACCCAGACGATGTCCTGCAGAGAGAAGTACTTGAAAGTTAAATGTCCTGAACACAATTTCATTTCCTCCTCTTTGGGCTAGGGTCTGGCTGATCATGGACTAGCTAAAAATCTTATGCCCTATCGCTGAAGGAAGCTACATGTGGAAAGGCCTAGGTGTTTTCACTTCCCCTTTTCTGACTGATTGGGTTTCATGAGTCAAGTTACTTACCCACCAGTACCTTCGGAGGTACATCACTTGCATGGATTGCAGGTTGAAATACACAGGCATGAGGAAGGGGAGAGCAACTGAAAAAGAACAACAACAAAAAGATAGTTAATGAATGAGCAGAATGTGACCCCCAATGCAAGTCACAAGGAGTCTGTGTCCTTAACCTACCACCCCTGGAATGTGCCCCTGAGAAGGAATGTGAGCTGAAGATCCTGGACTCTGCTGGGCTTTTGGAGTCTTTGAGGCTGAATCAGGAATTTGGTTCGAGTTCCCTCAAGGGGATGAGGGAAGCTTTGGTGGTATGAGTTATTTTCGGTGGGACAACCCAGAAGAGCTTCTGCTGTGAGCTTTCAAGTTCTCTCAGGGTCCATGGAATCCTTCAGCCCTTCCCAACACTTAGGATTGGGCCCTGTCACAATATAAAGTGTTAGAAATAAAGGTGTAGTCATTTCCTGGCCAGACAGCTACTTGCCTGCTTCTCCCCAAGGACCCCAGAGGCTGCCTAGAGCACAAAGGAGTCCTGCAGAGAGGCTTGGGTTTTGACAGCTCTCTTCTTGACTGGACTTTGGTGGGATCCTTTGAGATCTTCTCCACTAGGCCTCAGCATTGGCCTGCAAGCCCCCAACCTCTTCAGACTCTCAGTGTAAATGACTTTTGTCCCTCTACCCCAGTAAAAGACTTGAACAAATACTAGCATAGTTTCTGACAGCTCAAGTCGGTACCCCCGGGGTGACCTCAGCCCCCTTAAAGTTCCTGCCTGAGCAACTTCAACATGATCAAATGAATTTACTGTTTGTTCAAGCCAGAACTTGACCATAGGCCTCTGACCTCCCTTTTCTTAGAGTATTTGTGTTGGAAAGCTTATCATTGTACCACCTGTTCTGCCTTGGGATGGATCTTCTGTAACCCAGAATGTCTTTCTCAAGGACCTGGGAGCATCCATGTGAAATGTAATCATCAAAGATAAGGCCCTGACTCCTGGTCTCTGTGGGAGGTGGGAACCTAACTCTGCTAAGCACCTGGTCACAGACACAGCCAGCCTACTCAGACTGACCATGTTCCCCTCCGGGTCTTTCAGCCATTTCCTTCAGCACGCTCCAGTGTTCCAGAAGTCTCCTACCTCTTGTGTCAGCAGATTTGAGACGAGTGTATACTGAAGTCCCTTTCCCCTCCTTTGGAAGTCTGGATAGTCTGCTTTGCCACCTTTAACAAATGTCCAGTTATGCGTATGATTTATTTGCCCCTGAAGTGCTGAGCTGGCATTTGAAGAAAAAGGCCACAATGCAATGTTCCTGAGGGCAGCGTAGTTTGTGAGGTGGGTATTCTGCAGTGAATCCACACCATTCATTCATTCCTCTGAAGCCAAGGGCATATCGCAGCTCTACAGACAGGGGAGGAGAAGATACTCCAACAGCTTTTTTTTTTGTGAACACACATCTAGTTAGGCTAGAGATCAGCTACCTTTCAAAATAGGGCACCAATGTCCTCATCCTCTTTTTGGTCATGCACGAGGAGAGAGTAACTACCATAGGATGAGGCTGCAGAATTCCAGCAGTGAAATGGGGGCAGAAGTGGCAATTTACCCCCCATATCTCAAAGAAATGGGCCCATAGGCCATCCTGGTGAGGTATGTCACAGATGGCCACTGGTGCCAGCATTTGGGCAAATCAGATCATCTGCAATGGAGTTTCTCAACTTGGCACTGTTGGCTTTTCGGGCCAGGTGATTCTTAGTTGTTCAGGGCTGCCTGCTGTATTGTAGGGTTTTTAACACCATCTGGCTTCTATGTAATGGATGCCAGTACCATCTCCCCCTGTGTGGTGATAACTAAGAATGCCGCTAGATACCCGTTGGGAACACATTACTCCTGGCTGAGAACCACTGATGTAAAGGAAATGTTTGGAACAGTCCCTGAATTTGGTTGATTTCTCAAATGTGAACGCATGTTTGAAATGAGCACATTTACATGTTCCATGAAACCTTTCTTTGTGAGTTGTCATGAGTTTGATTTTGGTTAAAGGCAGCGCATTTTTGCTTAAGATTTTTTTTTCAGTATCACAATCATTCAGGTATCCTATTTTCTTTCAAACCTGAACCCACATTTAGACTTATGATATATATATATATACAGACACACACACACATATACATACATACATATATATATGTATGTCTCAATCCACCAAAGTATCTTCTATAGCTGTATGTAGACCATGGGGCAACCAGCTCTTTTCCATACAGAAGCTCTGCAGGTGCCATTTATTCCTGAGCCTCTACTTTTTCCGACACCAGCATTCATTTCCTATCTCTCTTTCCTCACTAACCCAATACCACTCTTCTTTTCTTCTTGATGGGTATTCAGTATTTCCAGGATGAGAGTCCCAGATGCAGGGCCCCCTGACTGGCATCCTACCTTCCATCCTTCTTAGAGCACTTCCTTCCCTGCCCAATATCCAGAGCGATGAGATGCCTGACAAAAGTGCCTGTTTGCTTGTTCATTTTCCTTTTTAGATTTTCACCCCAGTAAGTCTGAAATAAGACTGCTTTTCTTAGTCACAGTAAGACAGGAGCTAGTCTGTCTGTGAGAGGATCCTGGACATGCCTTCTGCTTTGACAATGGCTTGCTTCAAGGAAGTGGAATGATATGGGATGTGGCTCCAAGAGACTCACCCATGTAGAAATACAGGTGCTGCTTTTCATAGTCGATGTATTTGATTTTCTTCTTGCCGTACTGAATGGAGAGAGAAAAAAACAAAAATAATGAGAGACAATACTTTTGAACATTACACTCAAGGACATCTGTGTGCGTGTGTGTGTGTGTGTGTGTGTGTGTGTGTGCATGCTTAAAATCTCTATGGAAAGAGCCATTTGCTAAGAGTTCATTGGCTGTCAAACTTGAGGCACTAGAAGAACAAGAGCTAGAATAGGAGGAAACATTGTGGCATCACTTTGCTTTAATGAATTGTGGGAAGTTCAGTGAGCACGTAGTTGATTTATTCCAGGACTATGGGGACTGTGATGTTTCTTTTTCTTCCCATGGGATCCATTTTGAAATTTTTTGTCCTTATGTGTAATGGAGTAGTGATTGAAAAGGAGCATTTCTTATGAATTTCTATAGCTCTTTTACTGTTGTGTTAAAAATCTGCTTGAAGCGCAGTCTCCATCTCCCATTCATTCATTCGATAGTTATTTTCTGAATGGTAATGTGATAAGACATATAAGCATCACCCCTCCTGTATATCTCTTTTGTATTCTCCTCATGGATCTCACACTGAGACTTACTATTTCAAAAGCATGATGATGTTATATATAATCTTCCTATTGGGAACTTGATACATTTCCTAGGAGTCTCCTTAATTAACGTGGTTTGTGCTCAGAGCACAAAGACAGCAAACACCCTGAGAGGAGGTATAGAAGTAAGGTTTACATCAAGGTTCTATCTCTAGTACCCAGCAGACACTCAGTGAGTATTTAAGTGAAGGAATTAATGAATGAATGATAATTCTTATCCACTCTATATTTTTCCTGTATTTTCCCTCAGTTACAACACTATGGGCAGTGTTTGATTCTTGTTTTTGACACCTTTCCTCCTACATTTGGATTTCTTCTCTTATTTGGATAGTAGGGTTGATCCTTCTATTGCTGTCCTAATAAAAAGAAATATCATGGGGATGAAGTATAATAGCTATTGCAGTTACTCCTAAACTTTCAGATATTGCAATAGTAGGAAAAGGGAGTAGGTGGAAAATTCTTGGGAATTGGCCAACCTAGGAGGACTGGTTTTGAGTATCACTTCAAAGACGGAGTCTAAGCCTTTCAGGAAATGAGCATATGTGGCTCATTTTCTGAAAGATTTAATTTGATTCTTGTTGAAGGAACAAATGTTTGAAGAAAGTGATAGGAAGATTATCAGTAACGTGGGAAGAAAGGAAAAGTTCAGGGCTATCAGAACTACTTTTGGTGTGAAACAACTGAATTTTAGAGGTTATGTAATTTTAAATAATGTCTTGTACAGTAGCTTCAAAACTATATCATATAGAATTTATAAATATGGAACCTTATGTCCCAAGAGCAGCTGTGAAACGTGGAGAGATGGTCTCCCTGATCTGTGAGGAGGCAGCATGTGTACTGAATACTCTGAAAAAGGCACTTCTGGAGAGAGTCAGGCTGCTTCATGAACTGAAGGAAGACAAATCTCTACTGCTCTGGGAGGATGATTAGAGAAATCAACATGCCAGGTTTAGTGATGAGCGTAGGAGTCCACAAACATCCAACTTGTTGGTTGCGTCATTGTCAAAAGCAACCGAATTGTGATCACAACCAAGGATTTTTTTTAATCTAGGCAAAAGACTCTGTTTCCTAATTGGAAGGTTGAGTCTTCCAAAGCAGGGAAAACCTATTCTCAAAGAGTTGCCAAATACTTGGTTTGTGTACCACAAAGTCCAGGTGGCAGTTAACAAAGCTGCACTCTTTTATTCTTTATGAAGCTCCTAAGTTCTTCTAAAAGGAGATACCAGCCTCCTCCTAACTGCCTAACTCTCAGGGTCCCTCGTTTCCCCTTTCTGTGGTTACTTTGTTGAAAGAAGACTCCATTCTAAAAAACTTGGTAATAATCCTTTACTTCATTATTTTAAGTCAAAGTTTTAAAAAAAAGCCAACAACTGAGAAATTCTGGAGTTGACTTTCTCCTCCCTTTGCCATTGTTTAGTCTAAATGAGAGGTGGATTCCCTTAGTATCTTACAAGGCGTTTGGGCTGTGGTTCGCATATAAATGAACCCAAATGATCATGAACCAAAAATAACAGCATTGCCTCTTCCGACGGACCTACAATTGGGGTGAAATAACTAGATATTTAGATGTTTGTGATTACGTGCTTATTGAACGTACTGACACGTCTTCTCTGAGTGATGGTCTTCAAGTCCTTGTTACACTTGGGGCAGTGTTTAACACGGACAGTCAGCAGAGGTAGTGATGGTTACTGGGCAGGGATCTGTCTGTCATCAGGATTGCTTAAGAGAGTGATATCAGTTATTGATGTAGGTGGTTGAACTGGATGATTTTTAAGGTCATGGAGTTATACACTCCTCATATCCTCTTATTTCTACAACCCCAGATTCAGTTGTTTCAGATCGAAATCCTGGACTTTAAAGGAGAGATGCTCTGAGAACATGCTTAAAGCTGGAAACTCCAGCTTGATTTTTCCAAGACAAGGCTGTAGACTATTCTAGGGACCACTTCCAGGAACATTTCTATGGGCCCCAGGATTTCTCAACATACTTTGACAGGTTGTGAATCTCCAACCAGAAAAAGTGGGCCCACGTCAATATCTGGGTCTTTGGGGTAGATGTTTGGTTTTACATGATGCTGGGAATGTCGGTAATTCCACCAGTTTGATGATAGACCCTGTGGAAGAGAACAAATTCAGGTAAAAACAACTCCTGATAGTGAAAAAATCATAAAAACCTGTTGAAATGAAGTGTTTTTCCATTCTTTTTGTGAGCCTCATCTAAAAAAATTGCAGGTAGGTGGGGCAGAGAGTATTCTTATTTTACAAATAAAGAAACCTTAGTTCTAAGACTTTAATTAGTTCTGGGGGAAAAAATGGCCCGAAGAATCCTACTTCAATGAGTATTTCAAAGAATCATTGATCTGAAGTTGTGTCCCAGGGGGGCTTGGCTTAGATCATTGCATATTTAGGTTTCAATGCTGTCATAAAAAAATAAATGAGAATAAAAATATTTCAGTCTATGCCAAGCTCAGATCACCTGTGATAAGGTTGTTCATGGTTTTCTGTCTCTCAATGAATGCCTGAAGGTTTTAATAGAAGTATTTAATAAAGTATTTAATAAATACTGCTGTGTAGTTTGGGCAAATTACCCACCCTCTTTTAAGCTCAATTCCATCTTCACTAAATACAGCATAATGACATTACGCTCCATGGGCTGTTCAGGGAGACATGAGATGCTGAATATAAAATGCTGGCATATCAAGATATGCATTTAATTTCCCTTATTTTTCCCATGACATTAATCATTTAAAGAGGAATAAGCAATAGTAGTAATTTTTTATTGTATATTTGACATCTCTCAATAACTGATCTCTACACATTTTAGATCTGTGCTGTCTAATACAGTAAGCCACGAGCCACATGTGGCTATAAGCACTGAAAATGTGATCAGCCAAATTAAGGTGGTCTGTAAGTATATAATACATACTGGAATTTGAAGACTTAGCTTAAACAAGGAATGTAAAATATCATATTAATAGTTTTTGTATTGATTAATGTTGAAATAATATTTTGAATGTAAATGGGGTAATAAAGTTACCTTTTAAAATGTGGCTATTAGGAAATTTAAAATGCCATGTCATTTTAATGTGACTTTCATTATGTTTCTTTTGGACTATGCTTGTCTAGACACTATCTATGGTAAAGGGGGATGGGTATGTTTGAAAATCTGTAAGTTTTGAACAGCACTGTTTTTCCACAGTCTTTGTTGCAGGGTCCTCTCTGACCCCATTCTCTTCTTACCTCTAACATCCCTTAATTTCCTTACAGTGGAATCTTCTCTCTCCAGCCCAGATTGCTCTCCTGAATCTCATGCTTGAATGTGCAGTCACTTTCCAAACATTTTCTTTTGGCTGTCTCATGCTATCTCAAACTCATGGTGTGCTCATCAATTTCTACTCCCTCTTCAGGGGCTCCACTGCATTCTGCACTTCTCCCCTCCGATTGTATACCACTTGCACATTTACCCTTTAACTGTGCATTTACTCATTCATCCATTCATTATTTATTTTGAAGTATATCCCATGTATCAGATATTGAGCTAGGCATTTGGGATACAAAGATAGGCATGCTAAAATGGGATTCCCACATTTATGCAACATATGATCTACTGGAAGCAATAGACAATTAAACAAGGATGCTGTGAGAAGCAATGATTCTTTCTTTCCATTAAATTCTCTGAGAGCCAATATTTTGGCCTCTTCCACCCTGTTCACCAGTCATTATCTGTGGAAACTGGTAATATAAGAGGCGGGTTTTGATTTATGATAGGTCAGGGGGCAGTTCTTGACAGTTCAGGTTCTGGAGCTTAGAAACATAGAATAATTTTGGGTGTGATCTAAAGTGGCTTGGCTCCACCCTGGCCCCTCTGTCTGGAAGCTGCAGTTACTGGAGATAGGGATAGAGTGATCCATGGGGAAGTGAGGATTATCATGCATGCAAAATAGGCTGCCTCTGTACCTAATTCCTATAGGAACCACCCATTCCTCATTTCCAAGTTAGGTCCCTTCTTGGTGCACTACAAGGAATGTAGGCTTTGGGCTGAAACCACCCTGAATTAAATCCCTACTACTAGGTGTATGAACTTGGACAATTTCCTCATCTGTTAAATGGATGAAGTTACTGAAAGGATTATAGGAAATGACATGCTTGACATCCTGCATCTCCCCACCACCCCAATGTTTTAGGATGTAGTTATGGAAGCAGTATAAGCCAGATTTTCAAGGAAGGTCTTAATTTCAAATATTTTGCCTACTTATCCCTATAATATCATTTGATTCTTACAGTTTTCAAAATGTGCTTGCAGGAGATAGTGGTGGTGTTGAAAAAAATATGCTACAGGGAGTCCATTTTATTTTAGTATTGCCCAGAAGCCCAGAATGTAGGCAGACCTAATGGTTTATGTTCAGAAGGTCTCTTTCATTGTGCAAACACTTCAAAGTCTAGAACTTATATGTATTTGCACAGCCACTGAATGAAAATTCCAAAGAATCTCAATTTCTGTTTCTTTTCCAAGGGGAAGTGAAATGACATGAAATCAAAATTTGAAATATAAAATTGTTATGCATGTATAAGGCAAGGGTGTTGCTGTTTATATTATGATTTTCTTTCTTACCTCCCTCCTGCCCGCCTTCTCTTCCTACTGGTAATTTTCTCTCCTGCACATAGTCAAAGCCTATATTCATTTTGCTCACGAATTACTGGTTTTGCCTGCGAAAAGGCAGAGCACACTTAATATGCTCTTAGAACCATTTCTCATTTATCTACTCTGTTCACGAGTCATTGAGGTTATATTCATTTCAATTAGAGCAAAATAGTTTCTGGAGACAAAATTTATATAGAGAATACTGTGTATGAATTTGGACCAATGAGAGTGCAGTGATTTGTTAAAAGCAGCAAGGGTAGAGCTGATATGAAATATTTCAAATAACTGGCACCAAATCAATTACCAGTTTCCTCCAGGCAGGAGGAGGCTCACTTTTCCTCTGACTTCCTCAGAACTGGGGAAGGAGAGTGGGAGGGTCTTTGTTTTTTCTGTGGTAAAGATTGCTGAGTGAATCCAGAGACACTCCATCTATTTAACGCTGGTGGATAGAGGGTGAAAGGGTGTGTCTACAGGAATTTCTGGTTAGGTGAAACTTGTCACATAAAATGACAATATATTATTCATGCTAACCATTTTGAGCAGCAGGCAAAATTCTAATATGAACCCAGATCCAACTCTGTGTTACTTAATCTAAGGCTCAGTTTACCCAGCTGGAAAGAAGGTTGATAAGACAGTGATTCGAAGTATCTTCCAATTCAATATAAAACCACAGTGTTAATGAAGAACAGCTAGGTTCTGAGTCAGTGCTTGTGAGTTTTTCCTTAAACGACCTGGCTTGAATGCAAGGATTTGGCTTAGTGGGAGGCTTGGAGGCATTTTCCCCACTTCAGGGTGAGAGGTCACCAAATCCTAGAAAAGCAGAGATCTAGTTTAATTCCCAATGTTAGAAATGAGAACACTGAGGCGAGATGAGAGACTATCTCCCTGAGGGATAGATTATGACTTACCCAAGGTCACACCGCGAGCATTCTCAGATGCAGGACTAGAAGCCACTCTCAGTAGTCATGTACTGTTGCCTAGGTTTGTTCATTCATTCATTCGACAAATGCTTACTGAAGGCCTGCTGTGTGCCAGGCACTCTGCTAAATGCTGCAGTGCAGTATGCATAGGACAGTGCACCTGTCCCGGAGCTTATGTTAGGAGGGAGACTTCTGACTGCCACCATTAACACCTGCTTCTTCCAGCAGTCTGGGTTTTGCAACCCTTGACTCTTGAGCAGAGGCATCTGCCCTTCTTGCCTTCTCTTTCTCGTCACTAATTCTCTATTCTTCTGCATTCTTTTCTTTTTTTTCTTCAGAGCCCCACCTTTGCTGGATTGCCCTGTGTCCCAGCAGTAAATGTCCAGACCCCTTCTAAGAATATTCCCCTTTGCAGTTTTATAGGGCACATCTTCATTTCTAAAGGCATAATCCTCCTTGTGGTTTCTTAATGGGGTGTCAGGGATTGGACCAAATAGTTGACTGGGGTAAGGAAAAATATTACAACTTCCTAAATAAAAATAAACCTTTTCCTCATAAAAAATTCTTATTTTAGCATGTGTATTATATATAATTTTAATAGTATTACATATTAGTACATATATGGTATCTGCATTGTTAGCATATTTACATTTATTTGTAAATTTATTTGTGCACGAACACTGTTTACTGATACTTGTGCACAAAGTTGGAAACCGCTTCTTTAGGAAACAACATTTGAGGACTGTACTCCATGAATATCTTGTACCTTGAGATGACACATCACGACTTTATGCATCAGGTGGTTCCACTTGGACTTCTTAAATATGGAAAGGTGTCCCGTGTCATGCTGCAGAAATGAACTCTGAGACTAAAAGACAGGAAGTCGTTGTTAGGGAAGTTGGAAAGTCAAGAAGAAATTAATAAATGAGCTGGCCAGTACATTCAGGAGCCTATTTGAGAAGAACAGTGCAAGATACCACCTGACCTCAAGCCAAGGTACCTTTATATTTCCCACATGCTGCATTCTTTCCCCACTTCTGTGCCTTTGTGCATGTGGTTCTCTCAGCCTCGAGCGCTCTCTGTGCCACTGTCAAGACCTTCCAGCGTGGAGTGGAAAGAAGTATGGTTTTTGGGGTCAGGTGGATTTGGGTTCTAAATAATTTTTTACTGCTTATGAACTGCACATCTCATGGCAGGTTACTTAGTAGCTCTGAACCTCAGCTCTTTATTTGATAAGCAAAGATAATACTTTACTCATGGACTGTTGGGCAACTTAAATATATGCCAAGTGTCTGGTTTACGCTAAGCATCAAACAGATGTTTGTTTCCTAACGTCACTTTTTAAGGAATAAAGCAGATTGGTTTTTCAAGAAAAAAGTTAACATATAAAATTCTGGAATTAACATTGATGTTAATTTTTCATAAAACCTTCCCCAGCTGCAAACAATTCTTTCTGTTCTAGCAGCACACACTTGTCCTTCTTCTTGGCATCAGTGTCATTCTGTCATGTGGTAGGCTTAGTTGTTTGAATGACCATCTCCCCCACTGGATGACTTTTTTCCCAAGGCCAGGGACTAGGTGCATTTCTCTTCATGTCTATGCTGGAGTGTTGTGCTCACAGAAGGCCATGCTCAGAGATTCATACTTCATTCAACAAAGATTTATCAAATGCCTTGTTATTGATATATAACCTGTCACTGGTTATCATTCATGGCAGAATCCATATGTCTTTATTCTCATACAATAAGATGTACTTATCATATAATAAGATGTGCTCTGCTCTTGAAGAATTCATGCTCTGATGCATGGGTAAATGTTGATGGGTAAGTGGATGAAAGATAGAGTGTTATATGGCTGAGAACAGGACTTCAGTTACTGAACCTGTGTGGCTGAAAGTGGGCTGAGGAGACACTATCATGAATTAAATCTTTTTCCACTGCCAGTCACTAAGCTAGGTGTTCTGCATATTAACTTGTTTAGTCGTCCTCAGAATATTCCCATAAAAAATTTGTTATCCTCATTTTACAGGCTAGGGAACTGGGGTGCAGTAAGGTTTGGTAACTGCTGGTGTCAAACACTAATGATTAGCTTGCCAAAAGTGTCAGGCAGAAGCTGACACCAAACTAAAGAGAGATGGAAAATTCTGAGCCTTAAGAAGCTATTGCCTAGATTCTTGCTTACCTGAGAAACTGTGAGAAGAAGGGAAATAAATATTGTGATAGGCCAGCCAGTGCCAAAATGCCACAGCATAAACCAAGCCAGAGTTTCCAAAATCAATATCTGGGCAAAGTGAAGGAAGAAGAACATCAGATTGGCCTTGAACATGTTCATAGTCTCTAATGTTCTCCGCAATTCTTGGAAGTCTTCCACCAACTCGGACTGTGAAATAAATATTCAAGGAAGGAATTAGTTTCTTCAGGGCAAAGGGAACACATATCTATTAGCAGTACAGTTCACAAAGTGTTTCTATGGCATCAGCTGCCCAGTATAGGTAAAGGTCTCCTTCATGAAAGACGATGATCATAGAAAAATATAGTCCACTTAGATTAGCTCAGAGGATGAATTTCCTGTGAGCTGCTCAATGGATCCCCAGAAACAAGACTGGGTCCCTGCTGCATTAGTGTGTGTCTGCTATTTGGAGGGGTCCTGGCCCCGTGTATGTATACCGTGCATATGTACACGTGTGTGTATGTACCAGCTTGCCACTTCTCCCAGTACAAGGGCGGGGAGAAACATCTCTTAACTTTATGACTACAGTGAGTTTGAAACCAGGCCAGTTGAGCAGTGACCAAGGTATAAGAAAGAGAACAGAATTTTCCAGATATAATAAAGGAAAGAAATTTGAAATAGAAAAAGAAAGAAGCTGTGAACATATTTCTAGAAGCCAAAATTTTCACTTCAAAATTCACTGATTCTTAAAAAGTCCATTGCCTGGGAAAAGTCTGGGTGGGTTTGTCTCTTAAGCCTCTATCACCTTGGAATTCTGGTGGCCATAGGTAATTTTAATAGGTCACCTCAAGAGTATCTCCCAGCCTGGTTATCTTTTCCAACCCATTTATTGTACAGGATAGAAGGTCACCAAAGCCCAGAAGAGTGACTGGTCTGAAATCCTCAGCAAGTCAGTGACAGACACTGGACTTCCTGACATCAGTTCTGTGCTGAAACACTTATTCTCTATAACATACATCTGAAAAAAAAAACCTATATACTGATCTCTCTCTATATATCTGTCTATATATAGATATATCTGAGTATCCACATAAATGTACTAAAAAAATTTATGGTAGACCTTTACCCCCAGAGACCAACACTCATCGATAACAAACGATTGTCTTATATCTCTCAGCCATTAGTGGGATTTTCTTTTCCTATGAGAAAATTTTTAGGAAAGACAATTAAACTCTGTATTAACTTCCCTTTTTAACTGAGGGCCTCCTGCCCTAAATGATGGGGACATATCTGGAGGTTTGTTAATTACTAGTTCCACCACTGAGCTCATAATGATTGTATCTAAAATTCATTGAGCGCTTAGTGTGTTCCAGACACTTTCCTAAGCACTTTAAATGCCTTTACTCTTTCAATAATCCCCCAATAACTTATGGGAGAGATTGGTGTTATTTTTGATGCTATTTTACAGAGAGAGAAAAACTATGCTGCAGAGAGATTTGGAAACAGGCCCAAACTCAGGCAGCTGGAAAGTGGCAGGGCTGGGCTGTGAGTCTAAGCTGCCCACCCCCAGAGCCCACTCTTTTAAATACAGAGCTGTGCTTCCTGGCACACAGCCTTGCGGGATGCCCGTGGACCTAAGGAGTGAGTCTAAGTGTTCAACTGAGGTCTGCATTTAACCATTTCTGTGTCCTCAGATTCCTCCTGTCCCTCTGGGAGTCTGTGTCCTCATTTCCTAAAGTGGAAATATAATCCTTACTCTATCTGCCTCATGGTGATCTATGGGTCAGCACTTTGTACAAATTATTTCAAAAGAATTATACAAATGAAAGCTGTTAAAAAAATAAATTGCAATGAAATGAAAGGCTCAGTATTAGTTAAAATCCCCCTAAGCTTTATGTAAAACCATCCTAGTGAGCTTTTAGTTTTCTAGAGACCCTGTCCTTAGGGAAATGGTATTGCAGGTAGCCACAGTATTAGATATAGAAAGAGTAGAGATCTTCCTTGGGAATACCTAAAGGGTTGGGGACAAAAGGTAGTGACTTGGAGTCCCAGGTCTCTGACACATGAACTGTGGGACTTTCAGAAAGGTATTTATTCTCTCTGGACTACAACTTCTCCAAGTGTAAAAAGGGCTGTAGTTAGGATGTGTCATATCTTTCATCCAACAGCTATTTATGGAGTTCCAATCATGTGTCTGATCCTGTGCAGGTGGGTACTAAGGATACAGGGATAAGCAAAATAAACATACTCCCTGTTCTTATGGAAATCAGGCTGGCAGGGAGCATAGACATAGACATTGAGCAAATAATAATACAAGCAGTCATTGGAAAAAAAAAACGTGTGAACTGCCTGGCATGAAGTAGGTACTTATAGACATGGGATTACTGTTGGTACAGGGTCCTAAACTCCATTGCTTTGTTTTATAGAGGTTTAAGAGGTCTGAGAGTCTAAGGAGGATGTTTTGAAATATGCAGAATTTATTCATTCATGCTGTTGTAGCATGATGACTGGTTTCCACAGAAAATGACAAGTTGGCCCTGAAATATACCTTGTCCCCATCCCTCCACATGCTCTTGAGTGCTGAGACCTCACTCTCACTCACATTTTTGTGTCTCTCCTGGCTGGGTTCTTCTGGGGCAAGCTCTCCGATGAGCAGTGGCTTGAGGTACAATTTCACAATGTCTAGCTCCAGGTGCATGGCTCTGAAGACATCCTGTAAATCAGAGAGAATTTTTAGAGGACTAGAAGGGACATACTTATCTGTAGATTATTCTCCTTCCTTACCTCATCCTGAACCAGCACAGACTCCGTTACAGAGGATTTGCTTCTAATGCTAGGTTGATACTCCAAGTTGAATGATCAAAATCACCCTTGGAAATCCTCTGTGAAAGTCTCATGCTGGAGATCTACCTGCTGAATGCACTGCTTCACTAGGTAAGTCCAGGGCAGCCAGGTTTTCCCCAAGCATTGGAAGAGATCAGTTTATTTTATTGAGCACCAGAACAAATAGTTGACTTGAGCTAATGAACCATGATTAATCTTTAAATTCCAACATTAGGCTTGGTGGGGAAGTCGCTCATACTATCTGAGGCATGCAGCCACCAAGACCGGTGGGCAAATCACATCGCCCAGCAAAGTCTCCTTCTTGGTTCTTGGCCAAGACCCAGGGGAATGAGGCCCTTGAATTCAGTTATTTCTCAAGAAATACAGGTTAAAGTTGATAATGGTAGCTAGAGACAAATGCAGGAGAGAGTGTGGGAGCACAACCTTTGAGCTCCAGGCTATCTAAAGTAGCATACTCTTGGCCAAGTGTGTTACTGAAGGAGTCTCACCACTCTTCTCCAGAAATGATAGGCAGTCTGCCCAGGCTTGGGACAGCCAGGCAGAATTGAGCTGACCATCTATATTTTTCCTCATTTCAGGTCCAGGTTAGATAGCAAATGCAAGGGGCTCTGAGAAACACAGTGGTTGCTGTATCCACTGTGGAAGTAAGAGATACTCTCTTCCCTATTGTATTTAAACAGTTTTTAGGGAAAGAGGATTCTCTGAGGAAGGTGCTGGACTTCCTTCTCTTAAGGCTTTGGGGATGGGAGTGATTAGAAATGAAGAAATATAACTACAGTTGTGACTTGAATACATAGAAGCCATACACATTACTCTGAAGTACTGGCATTGCCCAACGCTGATTAAGAAAAGACCTACTTTCTTACATCTAATTTCTGCCTTCACTACTTAGTAGTTGTGTAATGATGGACAAGCCTCTTGACCTGTCCATACTTCTATTTTCTCTAACAAGGGGGTAATGATAATAGCTACTCAATTCATAAAGTCATTTTAAGGATCAAGTGAATTAATTAGAATCTGATTGGCATATAGTAAAATTTCAATACATACTAGCTTTCTTATATGTACTACTTCCAGCGATAAGAACTTACTACTTACCTTTTCTTTCATATAGCAATTCGCAGATTTTATTCTTAAACTCCAATGCCTAATGTGGTATGAACTCCAAATTATTTTAGTGATATAATGAATCCTTCATCTTCAAATTGTAAAGCAACTTTAGATATATCCAAGATAAGCCTATTTATAAGAAGCTGCTTATACAATGAATAAATTATAAGGATGCAATGTCAACTCTTTTGATCTACTTCCCCTAAAGGTCTCTAGATAAAATGATGCAAAAAGGACTTTGTATTTGCCAGAACCAGTTCAGGTGCTTCTGTCTATTCTGTTTCTGCGTATTTCTTCTGATCCCCTTGGTGAACTACATGATTTAAAAGGTATGTTTTAATTGTCCCATTCTGTGAGTCTAAAACTGAGTTCCCCTAATGATGAAGAGAGTCTTCCAGTGATGAAGATGGAGATTAAAGTATTTCAGGATGATCTGTACTAAAATAATCCTATGTTCTGCTTGTTGTTTGGAGCAGATTAGGATCAAAAACATTTAGCTCAATCAAGACCAGAGTGTAGAAGAAGGGTAAACAATTGAAATTTCACCTACTGTGAGTGGTTATCCGGAGTCCTGGAACAGTGTGCTGACAAAATATTCTTCTGGGTTCATTGTTTCTTCTGATCCCCAGCAAGACTCACAAGTCAATACTGTCCTAACAGATACTGAAGACCTACAGGATTTTCCAGAATAGCAAGCATTGCCCTGCTCTGTGGAACTCTTTTCATTGTTTTGATGGGCAGTACAGCCAAGGAGCTTAGGTAGTCTTAGAATATAAAAGAATTTTATAATGGAGTCTGGGTACTAAGTTGTGAAATCTTCTTGAAAGACCTGCAAATACAGGTTCTTTTATCAAAATTCTTGGGCAAGTATGTTCCTGCTGAAGGAAGGAAAGGGGGAAAATGAAGGGGAGGAGGGACAGTGTTTACATTTATTGCATGCATTCTATGTACAAGCTGCTCTATGGGCCAACTCATCATCATCACCTTAGTTCTATGGTTGTTATATTTCCATGGCTTCTGTTGTCAAAATAAAGATGTCAAGTCTCAGAGGGGAGAAATGTCTTGTCCAAAAAGCCACAGTAAATAGTAGAGCCAGCATTTGAACTCAGAGCTCTGTGACTGTAAGTCCATGAAGCCATGAGGGTTCATGCCAGCCTGAACATGTATAATTCTTTTCTGAAAGGCCTCTCAAGAGAGAAGCAATGCCAGGTTTTTTGGGATATGGTAAAATCATTCTGTATGTGCTGGGCAGAGAGTAATGGTATCTCCCCACCTTAGCTTTTAGTCACATGAATTGCTCTACCTCTGGCTCCAACCTACCTCTCCAGGATTACTGTTCACCATACCCTTGATGCATGTTCTTGTCCACTGCATCTCTCCCTGTTCAGGGAACACTCCACGCTTCTCCATGGTTCTGAAGCTTTGCACAAACTGTTCGCTTTGCCTTGAGTGCCCTCCTCCACTTTTTCTACTTGAAACTCCTCCTCACTCTCCAAGATCCAGATTAAATATTTCCTCTCCTCACTCACTCAGGAAAGTTATTTATGATCTCCTCTGGGCTTCTGTGACACTTTGTTCCAGCTTTTCAAGTCATGCTGTAATGAACTGTGTACTAGTCCCCTCCCTAATGGTCTTGGACTTGTTTTAATTGAGGTATGATTGACATTATATTAGTTTCAGGTGTAAAACATAATGATTCAATATTTGTATACATTGCAAAATAATCATCACAATAAGTCTCATTAACATCTGTCACCTTACATAATTACCCCAATTTTTTGTTCTTATGATGATAACTTTTAATTCTTCTCTTAGTGGCTTTCAGATATGTGATAGAGTAGCTAACTACAGTCAAAATGCTGCACATTACATCCCCAAAGCTTATGTATTTTATAACTGGAAGTTTGTACTTTTGACTCTTTTTTCATCCATTCTTTCCCCTGCCCCCAACTCTGGCAACCAGCTGTCTGTTCTTTATGACTATGAGCTTGGTTTTGTGTTTTTTTAGATCTGCATATAAGTGACATCATGTAGCATTTGTGTTTCTCTGTCTGACTTATTTCACTTAGCGTAATGCTGTCAAGATGCATGCAGGTTGTCACAAATGGCAAGAGTTCATTCTTTTTTATGACTGAGTAATATTCCATTGTGTGTGCATGTGTGTGTGTGTGTGTGTGTACACATTCATATATATATATATACACACACACAGGATGGAATATATATATGTATGTATGTGTGTGTGTATATATATATACATATGTATGTGTGTGTGTGTGTGTGTGTGTGTGTATTGGACATTAAGGTTGTTTCCATATCTGAGCTATTGTAAAGAATGCTGCAACAAACATGGGTTAGTTAGTTCTTTTTGAGTTAATGTTTTTGTATTCTTCTGATAAATACTCAGAATTAGATTTCTGGATCATATGGTAGTTTTATTTTTAATTTTTTAAGGATCCTCCATATTGTTTTCCATAGTGGCTGCACTGAGTTCCAGTCCTACCAACAGTGCACGAGGGTTCCCTGTTTTCCACATCCTCACTAACACTTGTTATTCCTTGTCTTTTTGGTAGTAGCCATTCTAACAGGTGTGTGGTGACATTTCACTGTGGTTTTGATTTGTATTTTCCTGGTGATCAGTGATGTTGAGTGTCTTTTCATGTACCTCTTGGCCATCTGTATGTCTTCTTTGGAAAAATGTCTGTTCAGATCTTCTACCCATTTTTAAATTGAATTGCTTGTTTCTTTTACTATTGAATTGTATGAGTTCTTTATATATTTCAGATATTTCCTCCTTATGAGGTTTCAGATTAGCAAATATTTTCTCCTATTCAGTAGATTGCCTTTTCATTTCACAGATGGTCCCTTTGCACAGCAAAGGTATGTACTTTAGTTGGATACAGTCCCACTTGTTTACTTTTGTTTTTGTTGCTTTCGCTTTTGGTGTCATATTAAAAAAAAAACCATCACCAGGACCTATGTCAGGGAGCTTACTGCTTAGGTGCTCTCCAAGAGTTTTATGGTTTCCAGTCTTAAGTTCAAGTTTTTAATCCATTTTAAGTCAATTTTAATGTATGGTGTTAGACTGTGTTCCAGTTTCATTCTTTTTTATGTGGCTGTCCATTTTCCCAATACAATTTATTGAAGAGAATATCTTTTCCCCTGTGAATATTCTTGGACCCTTTGTTATAAATTGTGGCCTCATATATGTGGGTTTATTTCTGAGCTCTCTGTTCTGTTCCATTGGTCTATGTGGCTGTTTTTATGCCAGTACCATACTGTTTTTGTTAGTGTAACATAGTAATATTTTATTTTTTTTGTATTTATAATACATACTTATAATGCAGTTATATTACTTTATAAACTATATGTAATAGTCTGAAATCAGGGAGTGTGATACCTCCAGCTTTGCTCTTCTTTCTCAAGATTGCTATTTGGGGTCTTTGTGGTTCTATACAAGTTTTAGGATTGTTTGTTCTATTTCTGTGAATAACCCCATGAAAATTTTGTTAAGGTTTGCACTGAGTCTGTAGATTGCTTCAGGAAGTATGGGCATTTTAACAATATTAATTATTTCAATCCATGAACACAGGATATCTCCCCATTTATTTTTCTTCAATTTCCTTCATTAGTGTCTTATAGTTTTCAGTGTACAGGTCTTTCAACTCCTTGGATAAACTTATTCCTAGGTATTTTAAACTTTTTTGAAGACTGGGACCATGTAGTATTGGTTAAATTGTACCTACCATCTATTACTGT